GAGAAGTTAATTGAACATTGTCCAACAAAGTAAAATTATTTTGGTTTTAAATATGTTTTATTCACAATTATTTTAAATTTAAAGTTATTTGAAACACAATTATAGGAATGGGTTAGAAAACAATAATAACCACACAATTATTTATTCAAATAATTTTAAAACAAAATTGATTTTTGGAAAATAATAATTTAAAAATGATACAAATTGCCCGCCAAAAGGTCTAGAAATTTGTAATCACATGGTCCAATGAGAAACCAAAATCCGCTATTTTAAATTAATAAAGAAAAGGTTAAAATACATTATTAGTCAATGTATTTTGGCTTTCATATTTTATTTATTACAGTTTAATCCTTTACTTTTTTTTTTTACTTACTGAATTATTTTATTTAATAAATAATGAATCGATGTAGAAATACGGACAAATCTTTAACCATTTGAAATGGGGAAAAATATTCCTATTATTTTAAAAGTTTTAATATTGTCTTTTACTTTTCATAAACGTTCTAAAAATAATCTTTTACTAAATATGTGTAAATATTTTGAACCAAAAGTTGATGTAACATAATCTAAAACGATATGACAATTAACGTAGAACCTTGTCTAGATTGTCTACCTAATTTTATCTTAAAAGTCTTATTCCTCTATCATTAAACGATTGTTTCTTATACATTTCCTATTTTTTCAGACTTAATCCAAACAAGTTTCCATGATGATTATTATGTCGTTCCAAATTTTGCCACATCAACTTTCTATTCAAAATATTAACGAATATTTGTTCAAATAACATTTTAAAAATGTTTATAAAAGATGAATGATAGTAGTGTTGAAGCATTAAAAGTATTTTTAAAATAAAGGGTAAAGTTGAAAAAGTTTCGTTTAAAATTATGGAGTTGGGAGACTAAAATTTTAATTTAATTGAAAATATTTAATAATTTATATTATTTCACAAGTAAAAAAAAAATAAAAGTGTATTAAGAGTGGGAGCGTGAACACGGTTCTGTCAAATCCGAAAGTCAGGAAATGATAGAGAATGAGACGCCGAAATTTGGGGCGTTATTTTCCTCCCCATCATTACGCTTTCCCCAACCTCCCCCTCACCGCCTATACCCGGTAACTCTAACCGGCACCCAACCATTTCCCCGCTGTAATAACAACCAATTTTTTCATTTTTTTTAAAAAAATTCATTTGGACAACGAGAGAATTTAGTGTAAAATAAATTACATGGTTACAAGAGTCAGATGAAAAGACAACAAAATGTTTTAAAAAACACATACATTTTATTTAGAAGGCTCGATTATAAAAATCTAATTTAGAGAATTCACTTATATTTGTATTTTTTCATCTCTTAGGAAAAAAGAGTAATGAATATTATTTTAAGGGTCAAATACACGTATCTTGTTAGAAAAAGAAGATGGTATTTCAATTTATCAAAAACCTTTCAAAATCTTGATGCTTTAAAAATGCTATAAAAAACAAAGGAAATCTGGAAGGAAATAGAAAAGCGAGTAATAAAAGAGTCCAAGTGAATATAATTATAAAAAGGATGGAAACCGGACGAGACAGTGACTGGTAATTTTTCCTTAAAAAATGAAGTGGATTTTAGGGCAACACTTCCGGTCAGTCTGATTGACCGTATAACCGTTGGGTTTTAATTATTCCATTTTGTTTCTGCAAAAAGCCAAAAGCAGAAGAAGAAGAAGACGAAGAAGAAGAAGTTTCAGAGCTCTCTCTCTCCGATTATGTAAAATCCTTCTCTCATAAATCTCTGAAAACTCTTCGATAATTCTGCTTCCGCTCTTCTAATCTCCAAACTACAGCGACAATGCCTCTACTATGCCGTTCTTCTCTTTCACTGTTTCATCTCTTTCCACTGCTGCTACTGCTTATGCTTCCGTCGCTCTGTTCCGCCGCTGATCCCTACATCTTTTACGAATTTCGCGTCTCTTACATTACTGCCTCTCCCTTGGGCGTTCCTCAACAGGTTCTCTATCTCGCTCTTCTTATGCAACTTTCCGGCTTCCTCTGTTGTGTTCTGTTTCGCTTTTTGCATATTTTCAGATTGAACTGTGCCTTTCTGAATGGTTTCCTCTAGCGTTTGGCTCAAGAGTTTATGTTGTTTGAGGAGTTTTTCTTTTGGAAGTAAGGGTTTAAGGTCTAACTTCCTATTTAGTGATTTTGATTTTTTTCTGCGTGACTCTCAATGAGCGTGAGGAGTTGTTCTGATAATTTTTTGGAGTCTGATTCTGGGAAGTAAAATGGTGAACTTGATTATTATTGATTTTCTCTTGGCTTTAACGCTTTCTGCCGTAAAATTTTGTTTTTGAATCTAGTTATTGGTGTTCTATTGTTTTGCTCTGTAAATCACATAAACAGGAAATGGATGCTGGTGAGAAAAACTGTTTATTTTATTTTGTAGCAATATAGTTTTGTGGATCTTTTTGTTACCTGGTCGCACGGTTTGATGCATTGAACGAATTTAATGCAAATTACAGCCGGATTTAGGGTTTTTTTAATAATACTTTTTCTTTCAGTAGAGTATAAATGTGTTTACTCACAATATTTTATGTTTTGAATCTATTCATAAAATAAACATTTCCAAAATCTCAAGATTCTCGATAAAGTTTTAAAATTAAAAATATATATATTGTTTAAAGATATATATTTAAATAAAAAATTGATAAAAGTATTATATAACGTTTTGAAAATGATGAACTAAGGAATTGTTAGTCAATGCATTTAATTTTAGTAAACATACAGCTAAAGTAGGAACTGGGTATGGAGGCCTTAACATTTAACATCTTTTATCATCAATTTCCCATTTGGTTATGATTTTTCTAAACAATAAAATATCAGTAGATCTGGAGGACTAGAACCTTTCAGCTATATTCGTGTTCTTGTAGTTCATTTTAATGGGTGCTTATTGATCATCTGTCATTTATTTATTTGAATTTTGTATTTATGTTCTGTGGAAGCTTTTCAAGTATTCTTAGGCACTATTTCTTGCTGCAGGTTATAGCCGTGAATGGACAGTTTCCTGGTCCTCGAGTCAATGCTACCACAAATTACAACGTTGCTGTCAATGTGTGGAATGATTTGGATGAGAATCTATTATTGACTTGGTAGGTCTACTTGGAAACAAAGTCTCACTGTTCCATCTCCATTTTCTTTGAGTTGTATTTAAAGGAATGAGATTTTGTAAAGGCTTAAAGTGCTGTGTATCATGGCAGGTCTGGGATTCAAATGCGGCGCAATTCGTGGCAAGATGGTGTTCTTGGCACGAACTGTCCAATTCCTCCAAAGTGGAACTGGACATACCAGTTTCAAGTGAAGGATCAGATTGGAAGTTTCTATTACTTTCCATCTCTCAATTTTCAAAAAGCAGCTGGTGGTTTTGGTCCATTTGTTATTAACAACAGGGAGATTATCCCAATTCCTTTTGCCCAACCTGATGGAGATATTTTCATTATGATTGGTGATTGGTATGCACGCAACCACACGGTTAGTTTCTGAATTGTGGTGTGTAATTATTTCTTTTTATATCAAACAATTTCTTACTGTTTCTTCTTTTTTTTTTTTAATTTTTAATTCAGGCACTCAGGGCAGATCTGGATGCTGGAAAGGATCTTGGAATTCCAGATGGAGTTCTCATGAATGGCAAGGGGCCTTACCAGTACAACAAAACTCTTGTGCCCGCCGGCATACAATATGAAACCATTCAAGTTCATCCAGGTATGGTTCCTCTGTTCGAACTGCTGATGTAATCCAGGTATTATATCAGATCGTTTCTTCCATGGATGATACTCTGCTATTCCTTGAGATCAGTTTAATTTCATCTATTACCAGAAGTATCATGTTTTCTTTTGATCGTTCAGAAAAAGACTATATTTCATCCTGTTGGCATGTTGATGAATGATTAGATAAAAAATAGGGTCACATCTGTTAATGGAATGGGTCCATTGAGAAGTGTAGGATTACACTTACCTCAAACCCACCAATTTGGATTATAAACCCACAAAGTCTTACATTTGTGATTTCTTATCTTAAAAGTTAGAACCCCAGGATAGATGATGCAGAACAGGACGTTCTTTACAACATACTCCCATTTTCGGACATTACTTTGAATAGTTTGGACTCATAACTAATGTTTATCATATGTTTTCAGGCAAAACTTATCGACTTCGAGTGCACAATGTTGGGATCTCTACCAGTTTGAATTTTCGAATCCAGGGTCATAATATGCTTCTGGTAGAAACAGAGGGACATTATACGGTGATGCAAAATTACACAGACTTCGATATTCATGTTGGGCAGTCCTACTCTTTTTTGGTAACCATGGACCAGAATGCCAGTACCGATTACTACATTGTTGCAAGTGCTAGGTTTGTAAACGCATCACTTTGGGAAAAAGTTACTGGTGTTGCCATTTTACACTATTCCAATTCTAAAGGACCAGCAACTGGTCCACTCCCAGATCCTCCAAATGATTTTTATGACAGGGAGAGGTCAATGAACCAGGCCAGGAGTGTAAGGTTCGTTCTTATAGTAGTATCTCTATTTGTATTCTTTATTTCTAGTGATAATGACAGAATTCAAACGTTATCGGTTTTTTTTTTTTCTAGTTATTATGAATATACTGTTAGCTTCAATATTGTTTTGATTCTTTCAATACTGCGGTGCATTATATTATGACCAATCGATATTGGGTCATTTCATCTTCTTGTTATCCAATGATAATTACGGATCAAGATTGGGTTGTTTCAGAGTTCAAACAGTATAAACTTTTTTTCTCCATATTATGAATGTTTTCCATTCACTTGGGAACTGGTAATTCCTTGTGATTAATGTCTATATTTGATGGATTAGGCAAAATGTATCTGCTAGTGGCGCCCGTCCCAATCCGCAGGGATCATTTCATTACGGTCAAATAAATGTCACGCAGACATATTTGTTGAAGGGTGAACCATTGGTGACAATCAACAGAACAGCTCGGGCAACCTTCAATGGTATCTCGTTTGTTCCTCCAAAAACACCAATCAGGCTAGCTGACCAACATAAAGTTAAGGGAGCGTATAAGCTTGATTTTCCAGAGAGGCCATTGAACAGAACTCCACGAGCCGATATATCTATTATAAATGCAACGTATAAAGGCTTTATTGAAGTGATATTTCAGAACAACGATACCATCATCCACAGTATACATATGAATGGCTATTCATTTTTTGTAGCAGGGTGAGATTTTCCTCTCTTTTTCCCACTTATATACATATTTCAGATAAGAAGCTTGCCTCTACTCTATGCATCACTTGCTTTCAAATGTTGATAATTACAAATGTATCATTATTGCAGCATGGGTTATGGTGATTGGTCAGAAGACAAAAGAGGTAGCTACAATAAGTGGGATGCTATTGCTCGATGCACGACGCAGGTTTGTACTTTCAAGTTGTCATGGAAATATTTGTATGAAACGTGCGTGTAATGATGCTTGTCATGAATGCATGGTAAAGTAAATTGAGTTCTTTATTCTTCTCTGACTTTGGCTGTACTTCTTTTCATTCTAAAATTTTAATTGAGCTTAGTAATTCTAGGTTTACTTATAATACAGCTGCAACAATCTAAGACCTGACCGACTATGAAGATCTGCATTTCTCATATTTTCTGTGATGAATTGTGTGAAGTAAGAACTTTGAAGATTTCATTGAAAAGAATGATACTTTCTGGTAGTATTGCATCAGGATCACTGGTGTCAATTGACATCCTTATAAGCTCTGAGATTCTGATTTGGCATTCATTTGATAAATTCTATTATGTTGCGGTGTTCAGGTCTACCCCGGGGCTTGGACAGCAGTTCTTATTTCTCTTGACAATGTTGGATCTTGGAATCTTAGAGCAGAAAATCTAGACCGATGGTATTTAGGTCAAGAAACATATTTGAGAATTGTCAACCCGGAGGAGAATGGGAAAACCGAGATGGCTCCTCCTTCGAACGTTCTATACTGCGGTGCATTGCAGAATTTGCAGAAGTATGTGACTGAACACTTGACATATCTTTTTGTTCTTTCCTTGTGCATCAGACAAGCACAATCTAATCTAATCCTGCCTTGTTTTTTGGTTCTCAGAGAACAGAAACACAACAATGCTGATTCAATCTTCAAGGGACACTCAAAACTCTTCATCTCTCTTCTGATGGCATTCCTTCATATTGTTTTCATTTGTAGCTAAACACACCTGATTGATGAGGCATATTCATTACTTCCCATCAGACACTAGAGTGGTCGTTTTTCGGGCCCATCACTGGTGAGTTGTCGTGTTTCGTTTCGGGTTTGTGTCATTTGTATGTACGCGCATATACACAGCCAGTTAGGTGTGAATGAGTCATTTTCATAGAGAGATTGGTCTAAATGACAATTTTTTCGTGCCCCCTTCTCTTACTCAGTGATTGTAATTTGAATAGTGTTCTAATGCAGCAAAAATTTGCAGTCATGATTCTTGAGAATTCCTTCTCACCATCCTTTTTTGACATAATCTGATATATTTTAATGAAATTCTGTCCCTTATGTGTGAAATGATTGCAGGGCTAAAATTTTGTTTCTCAAAGGGGACCATTCATTTTTTATTTTTGGTCTTAATGTTGAAATCTTGTTTTCAACTTTATCTATAAGTTGTTGTGAAGGTTTGATTTGATCCACTGAAAGTGGAATGTCTATTTCACATAAGAGTTTGATCATTATCCACCCACTGTTGTGTAATAATTGAATTATTTGTTATATATGTCTATATAATTTAATTCATTAAATTATATATATATTTTTTAGCATTTATAAACTAACCACAGGCGACCAAAGAAAAACCATGTAATAGTGATGGTTGAACGCTAAGATGTCTTTTCGTAGAATTTTGTTCAAATGAAATTTTAATAATATCTGAGGGTTCTATTTTCTAAAATTAAGATTATAAATGCAACTTTCTCATTTAGATATTTAATATTCTAAAAATTTAAGAAAAAAGTCAGTGCGGTGGCCATCATCGAATTTATTAGGTTTGAACTCATTCCCTCTAAATCCTTTTAAATTTCATTAGTACGTCAACCCATATCTTTTATATATAAATATATATGTTATGCTTCTAGTTTGATTTTGATGAATCTATTGGGAAAAAATAAAATTGTAATGAGAAAATACATCTCAGAAAATAATATAATTATAGCAAGTTATGATGTTCTCTTAAACATGCATGTGCTCACATTTGAGAGCCTTTACCATTTCTTGAAGCAACCTAGCAAAGACTGAATATATATATATATAACATTGAATATAATATTCTACCATATATTAACCCTAAAAATCACAACAAAATTAAGAAATTAAATGCAATAGAAAAATCCAATTACAGAACCAATTTTATAGATTTTTAAAGAATGAAACAGAACATCGATTAATTAAAAACATAAGAATCACAGCAAAACAAGAAATAAATGAGTCTAGAAATCAATACACGATAATTTAGAAATTGTCCACTGCAGGATGGCGGAAGTGGCGAGGAGACAAAGTCTTGTGGTACCAGTATCACCTATCATGAAGTCTTGTATCCGAATTATGCACTGGTTGTAGTGTTACTTAACCCAAACAAAGAGTCCCGATTATAGAGATTCACTAGCGTAATCCACACAGGAAATAAAACAAAAAAATCTAAAAATTATTATCATACCAGCCATCCTTAATAACAAGGGCTTCCTTTCTCCTTGTTAGAACTCTTAATCCAATCACAACCAATTTGTTCTCTAATTGAAATTAGCCATTAGTTTAAAGTATATAAATTCTTGCAATCCCAATGGACAGAGTATGTGTATAGTGTTTGTAAACTTTTTATTGGGTAATTAAATTGGCAGAGTACAGGAGGATTAAATGATATATTTTTGCAAAAGAAGTGATAACTAAACGACATAATTAATTAACTAAAGATAATGGTACTGAGTGGGACAGAGACTAATAAAAGAGAAGTTTAATTTGTTCAGATTTCTTGGGGGATCAACCAACAATATACAGTATAATAAGATTCACATGGACAAGTTTGTGGGTTTTAATTAGTAAGCAAAATTCCATAATCTTTTGTCTTGCTTGCCTCACAAACAACCTTTTTCATTAATGAACAAAATCTGATCTTAATTATGGATTTGTTCTTCACACTTGAGTGCCATGTGTTCCAATTTCTTCTTCTATTTACTTTTTTATTAAGTGCTCTCTCTCTCTCTATAAATTAGAACAAAAGGAAGTTCTTGTCTGTGACAGAATGTCAAACCCTAGCTAGCTCCAAAAAGCAATTCTTTGTCATGGGTGTACCTAGGATTCCTTGTGTTAATCATATGACATAATTTTGTCTGTGTTTTTATGTCTGAGAGAGCATGGCCATAAAAGTTTGTCCCTGAAATCTGAAGAATCATATCCATTGCTTAAAAGGAATATTGAAGCTGGTTTTGACTTTAATGTCAGTTCAGTTCAAGTTTGTCCAATTCTATATATATATATATATAAATAAGTTCAAACACCAACCACAAGATTTCATATAGCCAATCCAATATTATGCTCACATTTCTCTTCCACTTTTCAGTTGAGTTCCTCTCTTCAAGTACTTCCATTTTCCTCTTTCCTCCCATCTTTTTTCTTTGTCTTAACTTCGACTTTGTTAAGATGTGTTTTATCGTAAAGACTGGCAAGTCCCAGTCTTTTCTATATTTTCATAAGGATACGATTTTATCTACTTTTAGATTGATTTCGTTTTTAAACTTCTACTTAAATTCGACCTATACCCAATAAGAAAGTTTATTTTTTTCCTCAAGTTTAGTGATCTAGATGGTCAAATTAATTATGTGTGTTTCCATCTCTAATATAGTTGGAAAGTATTTATCTTGCACATTCACACACCTCTGGTGCTATATCATATTGATACTTCTAACTAATGATGGTAGCGACGTAGTTCGATCTCTGGAGAATCCTCGACCGCGGCGTGGATTCTTGCTTCTTCTTTCTTAACCCTATAATCATTGACCGGTTGGTTCTATTGCCTCCCATATAAATACACAATTGCTTTATCAATAAAACCACTATTTATACGTATGTACCATATATATAATTGCTTAAAACTTAAGGGAAAGGCAAGAAAATTTAAACTTCACTGCAAAGCTAAGCCTCCATGAATATGTTTATTTATTCTTGTTTGAGGTACCATCTTCCACTTTTTCTTCTTCTTTTTATGATTTAGTTGGCTTTGGATATTAGGGACTTAGGGTGGTCAAATTATATTGCACAATTGTGTATCACTAACTAAAACACATTGAAGATATTTGTTTTTCAGGGATAACCTAATTCTTCTGTTTCGTCTTATAAAATCATGTTTGCTTACTATCAAATTTCTTTGTTAATATTTTACTTTTTCTTTATATAAAAAATAGTTTTCAAAACCAAACAAATATTCATGATTTATAATTCAAGTTTTATTATAATAAAAAAATATCTATTACAAAAATTGTAAAACTCAATTAATGTATCTTCGATGATTATCGAATTCCACTCAATGTGGTTATATTTTTAGATCAATAAAAATATGGATATTACTTGAACATTGCACCAGTGTCATGATTGATCATGTGGTTTTTTTAAGTAAAATTATATTAAGTAACTCGTAATTTGAATACTTTTGGGAAATATGACGAGTTAAGTAAAATTGTATCAATATATCTGTTGCTGTGGTGTAGTGGTTATCACGTTAGTCTTACACACTAAAAGTCCGCAGTTCAATTCTGGGCCTCAACAATTATATTGAGGTGATGATGCGTTAAGATACTACATTTTATTGAATTCTATGTTCGTAAAATTAAACATTCTTTTTCGGTAATTGTGTAGTGTAACACTTTAAATTCTTCTATTTGCTATGAACACATGGGAATATATCGTGAAATCATATCCTTAACATTACATATATAAGGTATATAATACGAATGGTATAATAATAAGTCTTTTATTATGTACATAAATCTGGATAAAATGACTTCAAATTTAACCCTTTTGAACTCTAATAATATTCTATTAATTATTATATAATATCAAGTAATAACCATTATAAAAAAAATAATAATAATAATAAGTGGTCTCACTTCCACAGCTCAATTTGACAACTTGAAGTAGATGTTGGAGCATTATCTGGAACCATAAGTTCTTGCTTGTCCGAATGTCTGACTGCAACATTTGGAGCATCTGACGAGTAGCTGTTAATTTCCTTGGAAGCATTCTCGTGGCTGAGCTGCGAAGCAACATACTTATCAAACACACGCCAATCTGTGAGCTGATCCTCCATTGTTTGTTCATTGTTGTTGTTGTTGTTTTCGAACAAAAACAGCAAATTTTGGTCCATGTTTTGTTGTTTTTGAGCTGACGGTTGGAAGTTGGAGGCTTGGAGGTTGATGTCTAGGGCAAATGCTGAGGTGTTGGTGACTGATTGGAGCAACTTTTGGCTCTCCAAAAGGGGTAAGTGGAGGAAATGGTCTTGAGGGTGAGGTTGTTGGTAGCCCAAATCTACCTCTTTCTTGCATGGGAAGCTGGAAACATGGTGAGGAATAAAATTGGAGTGTGAGCTTTGGTTTGGTGAGTCCAAGTTGGGCATAAACGACATCGGTTCATCGTACCAACATGGCGATTCGTGCTCGTTCATTCTCCTTACTGTGGCTATTCTCTTCTTGAACACCCTGCATACCACCCACCCTTCTTCCTACACACCATAATTAGTAGTGTTAAATCACCCATCAACACAAAAACTTAAGCTAATCGATTATATTGGTAAACATTAATATTACAATGGTTTGAACACATATAAGGACCTCTCCTGCTTTGATACCATGTTAAACTAATCGGTAGAAAAGCGCTTTATGTTGATGTATTATGATAAATTTAAGCTAGTTCAGATACCTTAACGGATAGTATTGGTGTATCAAATGCATTGAAACAGTGAAATAATCTCAAAGAAAGTTGGATGAACTTGCCTGTGGAGCGCCATTTTCATCAGTTTCGAGTCTATATTCATGCATGATCCAATCCGACTTCTGCCCGTTCGGGGCTCGACCTTTGTAGAAGACTAAGGTCTTTCTCATACCAATCAAGTCATGCTTCGAATAGATGGCCTTGTCTCTGCCAGTTGCTTTCCAAAATCCAGCTGCAGTTGCCCTATTTGTTCGAGTTCCTGTCGGATACTTCTTATCCTTGTGGCTGAAAAAGTACCATTCATTTTGATCCTCTGTCCCCAGACTACATATCTCTATTATATTGATGAACAAATGAAGATCAGAAATGGCAGCTCAGATAATTAATTAAATTGTTTAAAGATCATATCATGCTATTTATATGTGATATGATAATACCTTGGAGATCCCATGGTTCAATTTTGTAAAGGTCTACATCTTTAATGACATCCAAGTCGATCCTCCTTGAAGAAATCTTTTTCCTAAGGTAGTAATCCACCAGTTCCTCATCCGTTGGGTGGAATCGAAAACCCGGAGGAACGTGTAAGAATGTGTTCATTCTATAAAGCGAGTCCTGAAATTATCATTTTTGAGGATCAAAATCATTAACAATACTTGGATGTTTACCAGTTAGCACCTTTCTTTGTGCTTACACCAACCAGTAAAAATTTGACAGTTTTGAAAAATTGAAAAAATATCAATTTTTCCCATTTCATTCCTACTAAAATTTTAATAATGGTCAACAAAAGATGGATGAGCATCCTAAGTGCTTTCCAAAATCATATTATTTTAATAAGGAATCTTAGCATTAATGTTTCACTTTCTCCACGAGCTTAAAACAATTTAATTATATCATTTTTCTAATCGATAGTTAAATGGAAAACTCATGAGGAACTTTCAAGCCAAAGTATAATTCACTTAATGAGGGAGCTTAACATTATGTTTCACTTTAATTTCTCCTAAATTGTTTGCATGATTACTTTCAAATTAATTCATATCAATATCTATTAGTTAAAAACATTTATGTACTATCATTGACACAATGAGTTCAAAAAAAAATAATAATAACTAAGAAGAACATGGAAAAATTGCCCCATGTGATGCAAGGTTGGTGCATTCCATCAAATTTAAATAGGAAAAATACAACCAAGGAAATTAGCAAGCATGGATCATGGAGGAAGTAGAAAAGATATAACAAAAGAAGTATATAAGCATAATTCATAATTACGAAGTAGTCACCTGGGATCAGTGGTAAATGCTTGGGGCACTCTTGATGAACCACCAACCTTAAGTTTCAAGGTTGAGCCCTACGCTGGTCACGTATTGCTCAGTCTTAGGTAACAGGTTCTGGTTATAGGAATTTACTAGCATAAGCCCGCACGGGATCAATTCCAGAAAATTAAAAAAAAATCATAATTAGCAAACAACATTATATTGTATTTTTAAGATAGGGTTTTTCTGTTATGGAAATATATAAAAACAATAATATTTTTGAATGATCCACTCTAAACAAATAGAGAATGAAACATTATTCACATAATTTTATAGTTTGAAGTAACTAATAATTAAATTGAGAAATTGAAGTAATTTCATAGCAAATATTCAAAAGAATTATTTGATGTTGTTCACATTTATATTTAGGTATATCTAAGATCAACCAAATCATAAGCTACATTTTTGGATTAGCATACATCTTTGCATTAATGTCAAGTGAAACCCCATTTAGGAGATCAAGTAGTTATGTATAACACATATAAACACACCATACCCACTGTTATCATTAAAGTAAATTGTAATAATGG